GTATTTGTGTATGTATGTGTTTATGTGTGTGCATGTAAATAGCGTCGCGTACACAAACAATAAAATATCATCTGCCGGATATAAGTCTTTACAGTTGGCAAACATGGCAATAAATTTTAAAATGTTTTTGCATTGTGTCCGTCTGACATGCAGGAACATGTGTACTTGCTGCGCACAAATACAAATACAAACACGAATGAGCATATATCATTTATATCTATATACATATATATTGCATATTCACACACATTTTTGTATGACAACGAACTCGGTCAGCGGTGGACGGCGTTTATGGTAAGCCACGCAGGAATGTCATGCAACACAAATGCATGTGTGTGTGTGTGTATGTGAGTGTGTCTCTCTGCAGTCCTTTTTACAGTTGCTGTGCTTTAAAGCCTTGTTGCTGTTTCTTTTAATAAAATTTAAATGAATCTTTATGCGTGACCCGTCATGACTTTTGCCTCGTGCGTGACGTAGTTATGTATGTACGTGATATGTGTATGTTTCAATGTGTACATATTTATTATTCATAAACTCGACTTTAAAGTGATTGCCAATTTTATGGTTTCTTTGGAATTTTGTTTATATTTTGTGTAGCTTCGCTTTTCACATACCGTTCACACAAATATATAAAATCATGAAAATAAGGATATACTTGTTGCACTGGTGTTATACATATGTATACCCGTTATAACTGTTTTATTAAATATATGTTTTAATTTATTTTAGGAAATAACAGTGATCAGATATCGAGTAACATTTTAGTGGAGTTTTCAATACCACGAAGTCTATGACTTCGCTTTCATAAACTCAGCTAAGAAAACTCTGAAAAATATAGAAAAAACGTTGAATCCGGTTGCACCGAAGCTATGATACCCTTTAATAATACATTTTTTATAACATAAAAAAGTATACAAAATATTTGTCTTAAACTTGAACGGTCAGTTTGTATGACGGCTATATGCCATAGTGGTACGATCTGAACAATATGCGCGGAGATATTAGCTTCACTTTGGACAATAATCTGTGTGGAACTTACATATGTATATGCTATAGTGATCCGATATTTCAAAAACTGAGGGTAATTCGCATGTATTCAGACGGTAAAGACGGTAAGTGGGAAAGACAAACGGATATGGCTTAGAAGGCTCAGTTCGCTATCATTTACATATATAATTTATAAGGGGTCCAACGTTTCTTTCTAGGTTTTGTAAACTTTATGCCAAACCCTAGCCAGCTCTGTTTGTATATGACAATATTTAGAACCGACCATCTGTTGAGTAAAATAAAGAAATAAACGCTCGTTTAAATGCTTATTGCAGATGATCCGTATATCTCTCTAATTTTGTCGAACTCGAGATCATGTGAAACATTAGATCGTTTGAAAAATAGAATCGACTTAAGTGAAATGGATTTGTTTTTCAGTTTTTCGTATTAGAAATAGTAAAAGAAATAACGTATCTGATGATATTGCATACGCTTGCTTGTAATATTTGGTCAGAAAACTAGTTACAGCCATAAGTTTCTTCGATCAAGCTCTAGCATGCTTCTTACACTGTACTGTGAGATTAAAGTATTGTAATTAACGTGACTTTTTTTATAAAACATTAAATGTTTCAGGTTTTATTATTGAATGTTTTAAGAGATATACTTGTGTGGCGCGAAGATCAATATTGAAACCTGGGGTCAAAACAAAAGTATATATGTTATTCCCTCCTTGCCGAGTCAGTCCAAAAACAATAGCCCTCGTTATGACATGCCTAAAATCTACTTACATATAATTGTTTTCTTTCCTGTTGTTCTCCTCTCGTTTCGTTTATTCATTCGAGTTTGAATCAAGTTATATTTTATTCAAAGGAAAATTTCACACAAATTTTATAATTTTCATTAAATTCAATTTAATAACTAAATTTTATCATTTTCACCCGCTCACTTATTAAATATTTAATAGAGGCGCTTATTTGCCCTCACAAATCACTGCGAAAGCAAATAAAGTGGCATTATTTACTTTATTGCGCATGAGCTCTTCAATTGAATTTTGTATTGAAAATAATTTAATTTGAAATTTTCGTTTAATTAAAAGTTGTTAATTATTTATGGACATTTTAGCAACATTGTCAGTGTTGTAATATTGATGATGATTATGATGATGATGACAATGCTGATTAATACAATGATTATGTATTATGATGCTGCTTGTAATATGAGTGGCGATGAATGAGCTGAACATGTCGCTGTTCACACATACAGTTACTTTTAGAAATGTCCAGATTACAATATTATTATATTATTTATGTGCCCGTCCGAAAATTGTATAAATATGGAGAGTATAACAAATATTGTGGGTACAACTAATACAACGAGTACTGCAGCTACACTGAGTATAGCGAGTAAAATAAGTATACAGAGTTCTGCAAATACCATATAGCCGAGATAGTAAGTACACCGAGTATAGTGAGTACAAAAAATATAGCCAGTAGAATAAGTAAAGCGAGTAAAATGAGTATAGCGAGTAAAGTAAGTATAGAAAGTAAAGTAAGTATAGCGAGTATAGTGAGTATAGCGAGTACAGAAAATATAGCTAGGATAGTTAGTACAACTAGTACAACAAGTATAGCGAGTAAAATCTTGGTAAAAAGTAAAAATTATGGTGATTATGGTCAGTACAGCGAGTATGAGTATAGGAAGTTCAGCATTTATAGGCAGAATAATGGGTACAGCGTGTATAATGAGTACAACTATAATATTGGGTACTGCGAGTATAGCGAGTACAGTGCGTGTAAAGGGTACAGAAAATATAGCCAGTATAATAAACCGAGTAAGTATACCGAGCATGGTGAGTACAGCGGGTATAGCCAAGATGGAGTAAATATAGCTAGGATTGTGAGTACAACTAGTACAGTTAGTAAAATAATTATGGCGAGCATGTTAAGTACAGCGAGTATAGCGCGTCTTGTTAGTACATTTACGTAAGCGACTGTACATATCAACCTGAATATAAAACACGATAGCTTTAATAAATTAATGCTTTTTATTAAGGAGTTTGTAATAAAATTACAATTAAAAGGTGGCTTTGTTATGCATTGTCATATACCAATGCCAATACACATGGTTTAATTAATGATAAATATAGAGTTATATAAAAACTATCAAAGGCATTCCCAGCTAATCTTTAATTAATAGCATTAAAAACAGATTTAAAGGCTACTTGTGGAATTAATAAATTAAATTTAAATTAATTGACTGGGATTATATAATATTTTTTACAAATGGAGTATAAATATAAAATACAAAACACTTTTTCACAAGTGTAACATAAATTACACTGAACAAAATATTTGTTATTAGCAACAACTCAGAGAGAAAGATAAACAGAAAAGTATATTTATCGGTATTTTGAGGGTTTAAGCGTGAGTTTGTCTTTAGAAGTGTGCTGTGTAGAAGGTTGTGGAATTTTTCTAAATTTAGTTTTTGTTGTACTTGCTTTGAAATTTGAATTTTGTTAAATTAATCCAAAATATTTTTAATTATATTTTTTATATTTAACTTATTTTAAAATAATTTTTCTTAAATATTTTTTATAACACACAAAATAAAATTTTCTTATTATTCTCTTTAACTTTGTGTGCTATTTAAGTAACGAGTTTCTATTCAATCACATCCTTGTCCTTCAAGGCGTCCCTAACAGCAGCACAGTCGTTGCGGTGGCCGCTATTAACTAGCTTGTAGATTCTCTACTATATTTCCGTAACTTTCATTTCCTGTATTTCTTTCTATTTAAATATTTTTGTTCTTCTCGACGCGTATATGTTGATCAACTTTCTTCTATTTTGGTGTCTGCGGCTCAACGTTTAATCCGCTTAAATACGGCGCGTACACACGAAACTTGTGGGAAAAGGAAATAAGCCGCAAAAAAGTGTAAATTTCAATTAGCGCCGGCTGGTTAATATGAGTCTATATGTAACGGTAGGCATAAACTTGTGAATTCTTCAACAGGAATTGAAACCGAATGGAAATGTAGTCGCATCTTTCTTGTTAAAATTATTTCGCATGGATGAAAGTAGTTCTACTGCGGTCAGATTTTTATTAAAATATATTTACATTTATATATATATAGATATTAAGGCCTTGTGTTCCACCTAGGAAATCTGAGAAAAAAAATATATATATAATATATGCCTCAAATATCTGATTGATATCAAACTAGTTCCTAACTAATTGTTTTTGGAGTTTTGTTCGTTATTTAAAGCAACTATTGTATTTGAAACTAGTCCAAACCTAGTTACTTTGAGACCAGTTGATATTCAAAGCTTTTTTTATTAGGTGAAAATAGCAAATATTCTTGCAAAGAACCAAAATAAAGTTACTGAAAATCTACACGTGGTACATACATACATACACATATCAATGCTTTTGGAGTTATGTTCGTTTCTTAATATAAGTATGTACATGAACTAGTTCAGGAGTAGTTACTTTAATACAGTTGCAAAAGTTTCAAAATCAATGTTTTTAGAGTTTCGTTCGCTATTTAAAGCAACTATTGCATGTGGGACTAGTACAAAACTAAGTATTTTGAGTCCAGATGGAAATCAAAACTTTTTATTGGGTGAAAATAGCAACAATTCTTATGGAGAACCAAAATAAAGTTCCTGAAAACCTTTATCGCTGCTTTTGGAGTTGTGTGCGTTTTTTTATATAAGTATATGGACTAGTTCACGAGTAGTTGTTTTCAGCCAGTTACAAATAATTAAGAAATAACAGTTTTTGGAGTTTGGTTTTTCATTAAACAAATATACTTCATTTGGAACTAGACCAAAACTGGTTACTTTAGGTCCAGTTAATTTTGAAAACTTTTAATTAAGTGCAAGCAGCAAAAATCCTTACGGGGAACTAAAACAAAATATTTAGGCATTATTTAGCAAACTTCTGCATATATTTTTACACAAATAGTTGTATTAAATAACTGTAAACTAATAATATTTTTGTATTTTAATTTTCAGTGTGGCTCTCAGTCACGGTGTACGAAAGGACTGCTTGAATAAATGATAAAATGTTGAACCACAAATGCGCCAGCCAATTATGTTAAACGCTAATTTGAAGGCAGAGCGAAGAAGCAGCCGCCACTGTTGAAGAGCGCAAAGGAATTCTTGCCACGCAAGCGGAAAAAGGCAACGCATACCAATTAAAATATCATTTAATGAAAAACCAACAGAACGCCAGCGATTCAAGTAAACAAATGCAATGCATTCACAATAAGAGCTGACCATTCAAGTGGCGAAAAAAAGTTAATCGAGTGATTGCATCGGTCAGTAATTAGCAATGGCGCGCAAAAACACACACGCACACACACAGGCACATGCGCGCATCATTATGTAATATGCATATAGAATAAATGTATCAAACATGAGAAATGCGCATAAAACCAATTTGTTTATGGCGAATAAAATATTGAAATGAAAATAAAATCAAACGCTCAAGTGCATATGTAAGTGTGTATGTGTGTACAATAACAAAACGGCAGTCACGTTGAAATAAATAAAAGCCATTAAAAAATTATTAACAAAGTAATTAAAAAGAGCACAGCTTGCGCGCGTATGCCTGTATAATTGCGGCGGCCATTTTGCCATAATTTAATTAAATACAAATAAGGTGGCAACTCGAAATTGTTTATAAAGAGCAGCAGCTGGAGTTAAAAAGCGCCACAACGCTTTGTATTGCTGCTTGCAACAGAATTTTGTCAACAATCAGTCGGTCAGGCGCATAGACACACCAACACACACACACGCACACATACGAGCGCGCTTGTGTGCTTGTCCAACTATGAAACTGTATCCGACCACAATGTCAACGCGCCGCCTGGGATGTGCCAGCCAAGTGACATGCGTCGCCGCGCTGTTCTTGTGTCGCGTGCTCGTAATTATCGCGCTCAGCGAGCGGCTGTTGGCGGTCGGCGCGGGCAGCGGCGGCGGTAGTGGTGGCAGCGGAGGCGCCGGCGGCAGCATCGGAAATAATGGTGAGTAAATAAGCGTAAGGTCAAATGGCTAGATAGCGAAAATGCAGGGATAATATTTTTATAGCTTTGCGGGCTTAAAATAAATAAATTTTCCGCCGATAAGCGTCAAGTCATAAGCAACAATGGAAATATGCAAGCATTAAAGCAATTTTAAATTAAAATGTATTGTTTTCGCTGTGGTGTGACGCGCATTTTTATATTTTGAAATAATTGCATTTTAATTAAGCCGTTGGAAAGCATGATTTCAATTCAGTGCGAAAACACGCGTACGCCTACATAACCTCAAATGAAAATTTTTATAAATACAATTTTTATTCAAAATAAGCGGTGTTTATATTCTTACAATTCAATATTAAATTCAAATCAAAATATGTCCCTATTTCCCGCATAAAATTGTCTACAAAATGTGCTTATACATTTTAGTATCACCAAACCTCAAGCCCCTTGCGCGCTCTGCGCCTACAAGCATTTGCATATTTTAGCGTCAAAATGACACATACACAGTTTTTAGCCGCCATTATGCCATTATATGCCAAATTTTGGCCGCAAGCTAATTCAGTCTATGAATGGGGGGGCAAAACGGAGGCGTGATTAAACAACGTGATAGAGCTCGTTTGCTCATACACATACACCGATGAACACAATTCAATTAGCTAATTTGCATTTAAGCGCCTAAAAATATACAATACAATTATGATGCAACAAAAAGTTATCAACATATAAACCGTTATGGTTCGTTGTGTGGTTTTGATGGGCGTATAAGAGGGGAAGTAGGCTAAAATTTAAATTTTGTATGCATTTTCCATGGATGAGAAACGTTGAAAATATACCCAGCACTTTTTTTATTTAAATGCTGAAAAAAGTCAGTTGCTAGTTGCTAAGCTGGTAACAAATTGGTCTGATTTTCGCTAGTTTACTTGTACTTATATTCGGCATAGTTATGATATTTGTTGTTTCTAAATTACATCAGAATTTATTACTTAGAAATTAGTGAAAAATATCATGTCTGAAGTTAGTAATGTTGTCAGGGTCAAAAATGCGAAACACTTTGTCATAAATTTACGGACTTATTTAAGAGACGATTTTTACATTTTTTGAATAGATTTTTTATTAAATAAAGTACAAAATAATGTGCGGAATTTAATGTTCTATAATATTCGACGATTCATTTTGAATAGTTTCGGATTCCATTGATCCCTTAGCCGATCTCTTTGATAACCACCGCATTCTCACAACAGTCGGTTCTACGATATCGGAATCGATCCGGATTTTATCCGGCCAAGAGTTGCTATTTTGAGGATCTAATCATGTTTGAATCGTTACTTACTTACCGATATGCTAACACTGTCATTAACGTCCAACAATCACTAGCCAGGATCACTAACAATTTACCGCGACAAACCAGACTTTTACAACTGAACTGAAACGGACTATCCAGCAAGATCGGGAAGAAAATTGTTTGAATTATACGCCGCAAAGGCATTTGAAACCTGCGGTCCCAAAAACCAAGCTAAACAAACGCTCTGATCTTCTGAGATGTGCAGGTTTCAACGTTTTACGTAAAGATCGCGAGCGAGATATTGGCGGTGGCGTAGCCTTCATTCTACACCATACAGTGCAGTATCGTTTTATCGATAACGACATCGACCATAGGGATACTACACTAGAATGTCAGGGCATAGCTAACCAATATATAATATAGAAATGCCCTCAAATAATTGTTGCCAAAGAGGATATCACTCAAAATAGGTGTGCTGTTTCGTGGTGAGAACCGATTGGTACTTGGCGACTTTAATGTGCTGGCGGAACAAGTAGACGACTCGACATTCTGAGCATATTTTTTTCATTTATAATGAAGAGCGAAAGAGTATTTTATTAGTGTTTTATATTTCTAGACTTTCGATACCGAAGTTGTATTTATTGTTTTTAGGGAAACTGAAACAATACCAGTTAAAATTACTAGGTTTATACCAAAATTACTAAACTTGTGTAATGTAACCACTTAAACTTGTCTATGTAACTTGTCTTTGTAACTTGTTGCCAGAAATAAACCTTTTTTCTTCTTATTTTGTCGTCTATTTATTATACTTTTTTAAAGCACAAGAATATTAAAGAACTGGTCCACAATTGGGTACCTTGCACCTAGTTCCAGGTTAGTTACTACCTGAATTAATAAGCCACTACAGTAGAAGCTAAGGCAATTAAAAAAGTTACTTGCTATATTTGCTCGTAACTAGTTACAAACTAGTTCGATTCCGACGCAACATAAGTCTAATTGTAGTTTGTAATGGCACATACCGCTTTGCTCACATCCTCCTTTTAACCAGAATAACTGAATTGATGGTTGCATTGCATTGCCAATGTTGCCAATCAGCTGCGAAATATTGTCATTGCCTGAGTGGTTTGCGTTACGCGCTGAAAAAATGTGGTTTTTATAGCAAAAATGTCAAAGCATTATGACATTGTTTACTGTTATTGTTGCAAATGCGCCTGACAGTATGCAAATTATAATGACTATTATTGGCAATATTTGTGCAGCGATGTTTTTGCTGATATTTCTAGTGGAGCGCTGTTGCATGCCACTTTGTGGGCACAGTGCGTTGCATAATCAACATAAGCGCGTGAATTTTAATGGACGACAGCCAATTAAAAAATGCTAGTTTTTATTGTTATTGCAATTTTGTAGTTATTTTGTTGGTAACTTTGCAATTTTTTTTCGTTCTGATCGGCTGGTTTTTATTTTTTTACTGTATTTTTTTCGGTCCTTTAGTTGCTTGCTGGCAGCACGGTATATTGACATCAATATGCAAATTATTTTATTGCTCTTGTTGTTGTTGCTGTTTTTGGCGCTTTGTATTTGCTGTTTATGTGCAAATTACTTTGTCGTCGCTTATAAGACTCATGCAGACTCGCGACTCCCTCTTTACACTGCGTTGTTGACTGCACCATGCAACACTCGCGTATGTTGCAAGTGCGCAAGTGGTGAGACAATAAAACGGCAGCCGACACGATTAATAACGCGCTTTAAAGAGTTTACTGCTTGTTTTTCTCAAAGCTGCTGCTGTGCACCAACACACACATACATACACGTATAAAAGCGTCTACTTAGGTGCTTGTGCCACATTTCCTCTCCGCTAAGTTGTTGTGACAGTGCTCTTGACAGGGAATTTGCTTCATTAATTAGTGACAATTAAAAAGTTTATTTATACATTATTTAGGCGACAGTCTGTGCTACAGGCGTTGTTGGCGTGTGGGTGGTCTCGTAGGGAGAATGAAGGTGCTGACGAGGGAGCGGCAAGCGCCCTATTTACAAGTGCCTCTGCAGTGGCATTATAGCTTTTTTTGTTGCAATTACGTTAATTGTTGTTGCTAAGGTATTCGTTTTGACTCGAGTCAATTCGCTTTGTGTTGATTAGAGCCCGTGATTAAATTTTAATTGTCTTGCATAGAAAAAATAAAATAAAATAAAATAAAGAGAAAAAAAATTTAGTGGCAACTTACAACTTTCTTCTAAAACAGGAAAAAATCCCCCCTCGGCTGCACCAACCGTATGAAACAAGTGCATTTCTTATAGTATAAAAGGGTATACAACATGTTTAACTTAATTTCGATCAGTCAGTTTATATGTCAGCTATATGATATAGGTTCGATCTATATAATATATTCAAGGATTCTAGAGTTGCCTTGGACATCAGTACATGCCGGAACTTCGAAACTTCGATATCTTGTCAAGCTGTGTGGAATCAGCGACTTCAATTTAATCGAACAGTTTGTATGACAGCTATATTGTCTAGTGGCCTGAAATCGGCAATTCCGACAGTTAAACAGCTTCTTAAGGAGCAAAGAACGTGTGCAAGATTACAGATCAATATCTCAAAAACTGAGGGATTGAAAAACAGATGGATTTCTTATGAAAAAGTCGAAAAGTAGTTACTTTTGCAATAGTGCCGAAACTTCTTGTTTATTATCTTTTCGCATTTCATTATACTGCCTTAAATATCTAAGATTAACATAATTATTCAAGTCCTTAGAAAGCAGCGATCGATTATGAAACAGAGCCGACTTACTTGCTCAAAAGCTATTATTTTAAAAACAATTTATTTTGAATGCTAAAATTTAGGCATTTTGGAACTGTCATACGATTAACTAAAAAAATAATAATTGATTATGTACTAGTGCGTAACTAGTTGCATTACAACTAGTTTCTTAAAATGTTTTGTACAGCTTGTAATAGCATAAAATCTACATAAACATCGAAATATTGCAAATTTTCAAAATTATAGTTGAAACTAGTCCATTATTAACTAGTTAAGTGCTAGTTATGTATAACCGGTTGCTAATAATAAGTCTAAAAAAATTCTCACAAATGTCTTAACTCAGTCATGTGGTCTCTTAAATGTACAAAGTATGATGTTTATGGTTTCAAATATATGTGCATCTGCATCTACCTAGTTTCCCGATTTATTGGCAGTTTTCAAGTACAAATGGCCTAATAAAAGTCGTACTTGACTACTTTTTCTGCTATAATTTGCGAATTATTTTCTTGAATTGTACAAGTCCCTAACCTTGTGTGCCCACATCTTGAGTGCTATTAAATCAATTTCTCCATTCCATTTACGTATCATTTCATATAATATTTTAAACAGCCCGAGGGAATTTTGTCCTTAAAATCTCTCCGTTCCAAGCATGCTTTCTTCGTATTTCATTATAAGTGGATTATGAGAATTTTACACCTTGTGAATATAACTGTAATGCTGAGCAATAGCGAGATAAATCATACTTATGTATGTGTTTGTATGTGCGCCTTGTAATTATACAGTTATGTGCGTGAATTGTGCATGCTGTTACTAATTCCATTGTTATTTTGTTATTTTTTTTGTATTTTATTGCTTTTCGCCACAAAATTCCCATGCGGCTTTACACAGTCTGATTAGCAATTAGCACGTTCAATGTAGTCAGTACCTTAACGCACACACAAACACATACACACACAGCTACAT